TATATATATATATATATATATATATATATATGTACTTTTTACAAAAAGAATTGTTCTTTTTAATTTTTATTCTAATATAGTTTTCAGTCTCTTAAGTGACGTCACTGCAACTGTTACAATAATTCAAATATTGCAAGTGTTAATTTCTATAAGTCTTTTGCGCACATTATGCGAGAATGAATGTACAGTAATACAATACAATGGCAAAAATGCATAGTTGGGCAATCGATTTTCTCAGAAATATTTCTCCTGTTTATTGTAAAATAATTTGACGTAACAGAGTTTATTTTAAACTGTGGAATTTTTTTCATTATTGTCCTAATTTTAATAGCAATAAAAAAGATAATAATAGTATTAATAATAATAATAATAATAATAATAATAATAATAATGACAATAATAATAATATTAATATTAATAATAATAAGCCTGAAGAAAGTGTAAAAAAAATAATATAAACAATTTTGGTCTTTATATCTTTCCTGTTTGATCATACTGTTCTCTCCGGTTCATTAAAAGAAAAAACAAAAAGATTTGTTGATTTTTTTTTTCTTTTTGCATTTAAAAATGCTAAAAAGTATTTGCAAACAAGCAAATGATAGATGTTCAAATATCAATGTATATTTAGAAAGCAAAAATATTTGTTTAAGTTGATAAAGAATTTATGTTTTCAAAAGTCTGTGTATCTCTGTGTTGTAAAATTGATGTGAAATACAAAGACGACGATGACGTCAACTGGGTTGTTTTTTGAACCAAACGGAGTTGGCAGAATGCAGCTGAGGGGATTTCACTTTTTGCTTTAGGGGATAAGAAATCGGTGGGACGGCGGGATAGGGTTTTCCAGGAATTAACTGCGTCAGTTCAGTGTGTTTATCGGTGTTCGTTTGTTTGTGCGTCTGCCACTTTTACTGGCCGTTGTTGTTGCAGCTACTGCTGATGTTGTTGTTGTTGTCGTTGTTGCTCATGCTGGTGAAGATGGTGATGGTGGTAGCAGTGTTGTTGTTATGTTATGATGAAGGAGTTTTTAACCTTCAAGATTTATTGAAAGCTATCTTGTTGTTGTTGCTTTTATTCTGGTTAGTATTGGGTACTGCTATTCAGCATTTTTCCCAGATGTATTGCCGCTTCTTATTGCTTTGCTTACTTTTTAATAGCATACTGCAGACTGACTTAAAGGTGATAATAACCAATCATTTTAATCAACTGTAAAACAAACAGATGAACCTATAAAACAAACAGATGAAGATAATAAGGAAGTATCATTTGTTATCGATTAATTGTTAGACATTACAATTGTTAGTGGTCGTAATAGTAATAGTATTAATATTAGTATTATTGCTGTTGTTGTTGTTTTCGTTCTGTTAAACATATAAACACACACGCCATTTACATCTATTGATTTTTATTTCCAATTTTTTTTCTTTCTATTGAGCTTTATAAACAAATAGTTTTTAAGCAACAATCCTATTTGAAGCTTTTCAGTTTTTTTGTTTTTTGCCTCATTAAGCTTTCAATAGGATTTATCATTTACGTAATTTTGTTTGCACTTTTTCGTTTTTTTTTTTTTTTTTTTTTTTTTTTTTTT